CCCCCCCCCCCAAATATTTCTCCATCAGCCTTCTCAAAATTTGTATGGGCTCCATTGTTGATCTCTCGATCTTAAAACCGAATTGATTTTCAGATACACTTGTCTCTTTTCTTAGCCTTTGTTCTCTTTCAAAGTTTTATTATACGACTCATGAGTTTAATACCACGATAGTTTGAACAACTTTGTATATCTCTTTTATTCTTGTATATCGGAATCAAGTACTAATCCTCCACTCATCCGGTATTTTCTTTGTCTCCATTATCTTATTAAATAATTTGGTCAACCATCCTAATACTGTATCTGTAGGCTATAAAAATTGCCTCAAACAACGGGAAAATCTAAAAACCCGCCTGTATGGGTACGCCTGCACGCAGAAGGGCCAAGCAAACTCGCTTTAATCGTCGAGCTCGCCATCGAGAGCTCAAGCTCGTCTGCATGCTTGACTCGCCAGCACAAGTCAAGTCCACTGAAGCGCTGAAGTTCGCTAGCACGAACGAAGCTCGCCTGTATGCTTGACTCGACAGCACGGGTCAAGACCGCTCAAACGCTGAAGTTCACCAGTACGAACGAAGCTCGCCTGCACATCCAGGCCATCATCTGTCCGCCTGCAAGTTCGCCAAGCTCGCCATAGCACTAGGCGGCTATGATGTCACGTACATGGATGAACCTTCCCATTTCCCACAACGTGAGAGGCGGGGAGTACAATACTCCGCACCCATCAGGTAACCTCTCACAGGACAAGTGGGAGACATAGTATCTCTCAACATGGTCACATCCCATGATTCAAGAGAGTGACCATACTGTCTCTTCCCTATTTAAGAGTCTCTCCTGGCTACGTGAAAGGGGTTCGCTTTTCGGTTGATTAGCTCACTTCTCAGTTGGCTGGCGACCCGCTCTTTGCATTGTTCTTGCATTGTAGCTTCTTCTTCCGGCTTTCGGCCTTGATAACCATTAAGCTCGGGAACTCGAACTCAGTCAACACGAGCTTCTACTGCGTACTGAATCTCGCCTGTAACTTCGCTCGGATCGTCCAAGGGAAGCAAACTCGGTTCCGATACTGAGGGAGGCGTCCTATCGCTATCAAAGACCCCACGTTAAACAAGGAGGGCATTCCCTCCGTTTCTGTTGTAACTTTGATTCATTAGTTTATAATAAGCTATTCTTATCAATACAAACGAGATCCCTATTTTGGGAAATCAAATTTTACACCTACAGTATCCCCAAGACATTTCCAAACGTTAATGGAGATATTATCTGGTGCTACGACTATTTTATTTTATTTTTATTTTCTTTAGTGCATCTTTGATATCATTGACCCTGATTTTTCGACAATATCTATAATTTTTGTCATCTATTATATTGCCAAATTCTCTATGTTGCTCGCCTATTTGGTTATCATTAAATAATTTGTGAAAGTAACTCCTCCACCTCTCTTTTATTTCCTCATCGGTTACTAGAACGCTTTGATCATCACTCTTAATACATCTAATATTACCTAAGTCCCTACTTTTCCTAAGGTGACACCTTAGATTCCCACCTAAGGATGTAGCCTAAAATCATATCATTCCCTAATTTTTTTTGTGATACGTTCCGTTGAACTTGATCTACACGTTCTTAAACCCAAACACATTAATTTTGGGGTGAACCCGTCGTGTTTTGACTCTTCGTTGAGCCGTGCAAAAAGTTCTATTCATTCGAAACCGTTAAAATTGCGGTGAGTGGATAAGGGTCAAAACACGAAGGGTTCACCTCAAAATTGGTGTGTTTGGGTTTAAGAACGTGTAGATCAAGTTCAACGGAGTGGATCGCAAAAAAAAAGGGAATGATGTGATTTTAGACCGCATCCTTAGGTGGGAATCTAAGGTATCACCTTAGGAAAACATTTCCCTATATATATATATATATATATATCATAAGTATTGTATTTAGTCTTTCTAACCGTTCTTTTTTGCTTCCTTCCTTACTAGCTTATATTTCTCAAAATGTTCTTTACTCCTACGCTTTTGCCAATTTTTATATAATATTTTCTTCTCTCTAATCGTTTTTTGCACTTCTTCATTCCATCACCAACTCTCCTTACCATCTAACATATAACCTTTAGATTCCCCTAGAATATCTTTTGCTAGCTTATATCTTTTTAAGTTTGACCATTTAGTTCTTAGTTTTTTTTTTATCCATATGCGTTTTTCTTTTTCATTTCTTAATAGAAAAGTCTGATACCTTCAACTTATGTTATGTAGTTAAACTCTCTTCAGATATAGTTTTACAATTTTTGCATGATAACCGATCCACTCTTCTAATAAAAAAAGGTCTATTTGAGTATTATTAGATCCACTTTTAAATGTTATCAAGTGTTTATTTTTTTTTCTAAATTATGTTTTTGCTATTATCAAATCATACGATGTTGCAAACTTTAAAATTGATTCTCCCATATCGTTCTTATCTCCATACCCAAAACCTCCATATATCCTCTCATGCCTAATAATATCCTTACCCACATCTACTCCACTATATTTGACATATTTGAACGATAGTGAAAATATGTAATTTTCTAAAGGTTTAGATAACTATAACATATTCAAGATTTGGTAGAGCACATCATTCCTTAAAAAAATTGTTGAGCCATTTTTCTACTTAGTATTTGAGACCTATACGAAATTATTTATTTCTCGGAACTACTTAATAATTGTGTACACCTATGTTCAGCTCAACCAACCCTTAGACCTAACATTATAAATAACCAATCCCGAGTCTCATGAAAAGTTTTTTATTTTCTTTTTGGATTTAGTTTCACGAAGACCTTGTAGCAAAAAAAAAACCAAGTCTTGTCTCATATGAAAGAGA